TATTTTTCAACTTGAGGTATCACTTTCACCTACTTAAATTGTGTACATTGTTACTATACATGTATTGGTGCGCGCTTGGATTTAATCGTTATTGCCCCCAACCGCCGGGCGCCGTCTGTTATCCTCATACCAGCACGTCCAGATTTGTTGAAAGTTTACCCATTCTATCCCAAATACACACGTGATTTGAAAGGCCTGGGACATGTTCACAGCACGTTGGACCATAAATCAGACGCAAACAAGTTATACAAACATTGCATCGCTTTGAAGGAATACGTTTGTTTGTGTTAGGCGAACGTTAGCGAATGTGGACATGCACTCACTCATGTACAAGTTTGCCCTATTCACTTCGTGCAAATAATGAATGTTCAAAGAACCATGACCCTATGGAAAAAAATTAGAAGAGCTTAATACATAACAACACAACAACATACATAAGAGCACCAACTTTCCTAGAACAACATTCACTCATTATTGTATACGTTTTTATACTAGGTGTCACACAACGATTGTTGTCATGTATCCAGAACCTTTTGTATAAATTGTAAGAAGCTTAGTGACATGATGATGTGGTTAATCATTTACATTTATCCCAACCTAATTATTATCTGAAAGTTTACTTGGCTTGAACTATATCTGCAGATCTTTATGTATCTTTAGGCTACAGTATGATAAAAGTGAGATAAGATATTACGCCATTTTATTGCACGTTTTGTACAAAGAGACTTCAATGGCGGATCCAAGGGGTTGGATAGGGTGGCTGACCACCCCCTCCGACTGACAAATGTTAATTATTTGTAAAATAAAATATAAAAATCCCAAATTTCCTTAACTGTCATTGCAAATCTTGTATCATAGGGCTTTGGTCCCATGCGTTGAACCTCTCAGCAACCCCTCCCCTCCGCCCCCCACCTCTTGCACTTCAACAACCCCCACCCTTGGGAAACCCCTTCCTCCTTGATCCACCACGAGATTTTGCATGAAAGAAAAAGGTGACAGAAATTCAGCCAAAATTTAAAAATTAGTCTCAGTATCACCCATTCGTCAGAATGCGATCGATCTGGTTTGTGTATATTATGCAACCCCCACGACGGCCATTCGAGACGACTGCATATAGTGACCCCAATTTATGAAAAACGACACGGCTGTAGATTGGTAAATAACTGTGAGTTGTACCCGATGAAGACATTCCCTGATTGGTGATCAAATAAATGGATGTGGATATAAATAGCAGTAGATGAATCTCCACGAAATACAAAATCAAAGACGATTCAAAACTTGAATCTTTTATTGCGGCAGACACTTAAGTTCAAGGGCCACCAAAACTCCCTATAGGTTTGGAGAGAATTTGACGGTAAATCGTTCTTTGGTATAGGCGAACGAAACTTCGGGCGTATTGCATGTAATCTCGGGAACATCAACAATGGACCCTTCTGTCCTGTCAATCAATTAGATCACGACGTTTGGTCATGTAACTTTACAAAAGTTGCTATCGGCGTCTTCCGCCATTAGCTCGGTCAAACTCGGTAGGCCTTCGAACCAATGGGTTACGTGGGAGTCGCGAACATTCTTTTCATTATTTTAACGAAAAAGAAAAGGATTTCATACATATTATGTTTAGTTTCGGGGTTTTTTTTCGAGGGGGGAACACCTGTAACACTCTGAAAAGGCTTTTATTTAGGGCTGCTTTGCAAAATGGTCAGGCCTCAAATCTTACTTAAAATGGCAGGAAACAGTCCATCCTGCGAAAACTGAATGATTGTCGCACCGCAATTCAAATTTGTATCTTACTGCTCTATCTAAACGTGGGCGTTTTTTTTGGGGGGGGGGGTTCATGCCTCATTTACGAAATAACGTTTCATTACTCGGAAAAAAATACTTTAAAATGTGGGGGCGTTGCATTATCTTTTTTTTTTTGAGGCTAGACATTGTTGCATGCCTACGCAGTGCGCGTAAGCAGCGTGGGATTTGTGGCTTTACTTGTTGTGAGTATAGTTCTCGCGAAAACCTGCATTTGCTCGTTATGGTTTGATTGTGTACCTTCTGCCTGTCCGTCATAATCATACAAGCTGTCTGGCCTGCCGTAGTCATTATGCAAGTTGGGAGTTCTAGAATTTGCACATGAGCCTGAACTAATGTAAATAGTGTTCACGAAAAAAGGGCAAAAATCTCCTGCAAAACTCGGTGCAGGTATAATGACAATCCTCCACATTCACGATCCTCAAAGTAACTTAATTCATGCATCCAAATTACTTGATGTGTGGCAAACAAATTGCGATGATATAAGACCCGTTGCATTGGCCCTATAACACTATAATATATTTTGCAAAAGTTTGTGTTTATGTTACTACTTTTAAAATTAAATGTATTTTCAGCATATCGGTAAATAAAATCTCGGCTGGCATTATCTCCACAATCCTGCCAAATCAACCTCTCTTCGTGACCTTTACAAAATTCTGGCAAGCAATTCTTATACATTATTTCACTGCACTGCACTGGGACCTTGAGTTGATGTTGTTCTGACACCAGAAGCCAGACAGTACTGTTTCAATTCCCAGGTACCGCTGAACCATAGAGCCAGCAAGCGCTATGGCTAAACTGAGCATTGTTTGGTAACCCAATGCCAGTTGTTCGCTACCTGCTGCGCAACGGAGCTATATTATAGTTGTCGACTTCTTTGGAAGAGCGCCAGTTTTGTCTGGCATACCCCCCCCCCCATATGTGACCGTTGAACTTGACAGCAGACTGCAAAATTAATGTGCTTGTAATGCACCTAGTCTAGTGATTGCGCCCCCTATCATGAAAGCCGGCCGTTGCCAAAAATCTAAAGCCTATTTTGACGTATTTGAAAAACAGTGTTTGCATCCTCTGAAGTTAATTTTCAGCTGCGGTGTTTCTTTTTAAAAAAAACCCACACACCTGCCTTATTAGGACGTTGCATGCCAATCCACCTAAATCTTTAGAGTGGCTCACATTCAGATTAAAGTTTTAAAAATGTTTCTCTGCATCGAAATCAAACAAGTTTTCATTCGTCGTCTTAGAGTCATTTGAGGATATTCTTCTGTCGCCACAACCGCACAAGAATAACCGGTTCCCGCTTCCAGAAAATATGCATGGGGACCGGTAGCTATATGCTTCTCGTGGCATGTAAAGCTTTGGATTGGACAACATTAATTTTGTGCATGCGTAGAAACAAAGTTATATTATTTTATAGAGATAATATTATTTTATAGAGATAATGAGATAATGTGTAGTTCTCAATTTCTCATGCTTAAATAAAATCAGTTAACTACATGGTATGCAGAAACTCTTTGCATGGACCAATTAAATGATTGTGATCGCAGTACCTCTTTGGGAATTACCATGCTTGAGCTTCCACAGCCCGCAATTAATTCGAAATTGTAGTTTTGTACATAATTAAAAGTGGGGTTTTTTTTCGTTCGCTGTCTATTTAAAATGAGAACATAATTAAAAAGAAAGAAGAAACTATTTTCGGAGTGAAATTCGATAATATCACGAACAGCAAACAGTATATCTTTAGGTTAAACTCAGAGGAAGCGACCCAGGTCGTGAAACAGTTCTCCACCTGTAATTTTAACTTCCGAATTTGTTCCAAATCCTGCTGATACGCTCATATTAAAAAACGTCGTGATATCAACAATTTTTGCAAAGCATGCATGCACAAAACACTCATCATTTTTAAAGAATCCTTATGTCTTATTTTGCCGAAAAGAATACTTTTGTTTTATATTTGGCATCTGCAAGTGCATCTCTCTGAAAAAAAGCTTTTAATATTGGTTTTATTAGTGTACAAACAGGTTCTCGGTCCCTATGTTATTGATTCTGATAGCGGGCAGGCCTATGTACAGTCTATACCTTGCGAGAACTGAATTTTTGACAGGCCGTAGATAATTCGAAATTTGTAGAGTTATTATTCAGCAGCTAAAAACTTGGGTCGATAGTGTGTTTACTGTGATAAATTATTATGCTAGTACATGTATATAAAGTCGCGTTTAGCACTCCCTTTCTTCCACGTCGGACACGTGTGACACTGACAAGTAACCCATACCAATGCAGGAAGTAATTTATAAACCACGATAATCCGGTTGATGATGGTTTGGTTTAATAGGGGAAAATCCTCGATATTATTGTAATGGAGGGTCATAATTGACACTACGTATAAAGGATTAGACTAATAGTATAGGGCTATAGGCTACGTTTCCGAATGATGTGACATTCAACTTCAAGGAACATATACCTACAGACATACTTTGGCCTAACTTGTCAAAGTGTATCTGAGATTTACATGAGGTTCTCTTGCTACATTTTCAATCCAGCTAAGTAAAATCATGGATTCCTTCCTCCACGGTAAAATGAAGCTCAGTTAAGATTGCTCTTTCCCTGACCCGAAAGCATGGTAACTCAATTTTTTTGTTGACAGAGTAGGTATGATGTACATGTTCAATACACGTTGCATAAGCGTATAGTGAAAAACCCGCCCGGCTCAGTGGATGCATGGAGTGTTTCCTACCTCCACGGTGGTTGGGTGGAGTTTATTATGTTGAGATGAAGGGTTGCACTATATTATGAGGTTTTGCAACCCCCTCCCCAAATACAGGTTAATGCACAGATCTGTTTTCTCATCGACTGACTGCAATAATTGGCGTAATGAGCAAAGCTCAATATAATCCGTTCATTGTATACTGCATGTTTCTTTTTCAATCCACCTCCCAAGAAAAAAATCCGGCGACAGATATATAGTTACTAACTTGCATTGCTAAGCATGGCTCCCAGTCCCAGCAACTTCAGATTTTAATGCTACCATAACTTTGATTTGTGATAAGTCTCTCTAAAATTTTTAATGGTTTAAGACAATAAAAGTTTATGTATTTGTTTTGGTGGAAACCAAAAGATGCACACACTCGCAAGCAATGAAAACCACTAATTACTTTGTGAATATATGTGTATATCGTGGCAATGTGCCTTATATATGACGCATGTATACACTGCATGCCGAAAGTTCCACAAACTCTTTCGAATGGTCACCCATTCAAAGTATTTCCCTAAGAATAGTGAAGTTATTTTTGTAGGAGAGAGTGTTCTTTTGTCCCAATTGTGTTCTTGGATCTGGGCCGTTTTGAACGCCCCTGTGCGGGCACAACTAGCTATGCCCGGCATGCTACTCTGGTCCAGCAACAAAAAGAAAACCTGACAATTATGCAAAACCACGATGGAGTGTAAATCCGGTCCATCGGTACCATTCAAAGTGTACCATTCATAGAGCATGCGCCCCGTAATCCTTTAGTCAAGTCGAGAAATGTTCGGCCAGCGCCCAAGAATGAAATAAACCCGGCCAACTGCTAGTAGTGCCACTAGATACTGCGGGGCTGCGCACCTACTGTAATGTAATCGCCTCTGTAATGTAATCACAGATTTCTTAGACCGCGTTTTCTGATCTGGTGCGGGGATCTCTTTACATTGCGCACCGCGTACCCCATTGGCCAGGGGCATTCATCGTTACTGGGGGTTTCGCATTACACCAGTCTACTGACCAATGGAAATGTGACCGAAAAAAGGGGCCAGCCTTGCGTAGTCCAGCTCAGGAATGCTTGAACCAGGGGTCAGATTGTGTGGGTAGGGCCGGCCAGCATGGCCAGTCAGTGTGAAGATTTGGGAAACCTTGACAAAGTTAGTGGATAGAATTTGAGGTCTTCCGTGGTACATGTTTCGACTCCGTACGCCAAGCTCAGGATATAACAATGTTCAAGTCCGAGTTCAAACTAGCTGGACCAGGGATGTCGTCCAAAGGTTAGTTGTAACTTTTATGTCGATCTTTAATCGAAAAAAAATAGGAAACTGTTTACAACAGTTATTGCAAAACGAGATCCGAAACGAGGAGGGAAAGGGGGCCCGGAAAGAACAACCAGAGACATGATAGAGAAAGTACCACATGGAGCCGGGCTGAGCTTGGCGTTAGCGCGCCTTGTAGGTGAACCTCCGTTATCTGTTGTTTTAATCTATTGATTTGTTGTTATATTCTATTGAATTGTATGTTCTTGGATATATTCGAAAGTTAACGGACAGCTACAGTCGCTTGTAACAAAGACTAGTGAATTATTTTGCCAGTAAAGTTTGCGTTTGGTATACATCAGTGGTGCTTAGTGGGCCATCCATGTTTAGCGCTCAATGCATGCACGTTATGTACACGTACATGTACATGTACGTGGACCCATGCAGTCCACTTCACCATAACGGGGGTTGGGTGTGACCAAGGCCACTCCATCAACGGGCATACAAAATGTTTGTTGCATGTGAAGTTGCTCGGCACCGCATGCTTAGACTTAGAGCTCGAAGCTCTAAATGTAAAAAATGAAAAAGGCATCGTGGGTTTGCTGACGTTCTAAATGATCCTACTTAATTTGTGTTCTGTGTTAGCAATGAAGCTACTGGAGTAATGTAAGGCCTGATGCACTTTGTCTTTTTTCTTTCAAGTTTTGACCAAAATGAAACTAGTAGGAGAAGTGGTAGTAGTATTACCGACTATAGTTGGATCATAAACTTAGTGCGTCTTGTGGAACAAGTTAGCATTGCAATGGATTACAATTTAACAAGGTGGTGTCCAATTTTTCACGACTTATATGTGATGTTTATGAAAGTGTTATGCATTATGTAACTTGGCTTTATTCGGCTTATTTTACATGCCAGATTTTAAGCAAAACTGCAAGGGCTAATTCTGCTCATTGATCACTGCATGCAAGCCAATATCTTGAAGTGATACAAAGGAATATGCACAATTGATGACATAAAAAAATTAAGTAAGATGACACTTGAACCCTCTTTGTCACTTTATGTCAGATGGTTAGTGGATGGATAAAACATTAAAGGAAAATTATGTAGTTTTGTTAGACAATCTTCTTTAAAGTTTAACATTCAGTTTCGATTTTCCCTAACCATTAGTGCTGTCCAGTGAAAATGCCGGGTCATATTTCAATCGGGGATCACCTTATGTGCACAATGGTTTACTTTATCAGATTATCTAAAGATTGGAATTTGTACACGATATTCCCTGCTACCTTTTTCCTTGATGTGACATGACTTTGCTAGCTAAACGCTAGAGATAAATGCCTGAGCTCACATAATATATCTGTTATCTTAACATTTGAATGCCTTCTCTGATAATAAAAAAAATCAAAATGCAATTATTTACCTAGATGCTTATCAATTATATCGTGAAGCTAAAATTGTTAATGTGTTAAAAAAGTTGATTTAAATTGTTTAGGACATAGCTCAGTTTCTCCATTAGAGATGGTATTGTGTTAAAGAACACGGCCTACACTTGTAATTTCTTTCTTACATAGTCACACCTGACCTTTACTGCCACAGATATGAATGTTGTTGCCGTTTTTGTCAAGTGTGAGGATATTAAGGGCTTGATTTCTTATGAACCATGTATGTTATGTCTGCGATGAAGAAGAAACTTGCACATTTTCAAGAGAAACAAAAACAAATTAGTTAGGCTTCAGTCGCTTGAAGGTTCATTAATTAAATGTTGAGTGATCCCCGTCATGTCAAGTCACCAGTTTAGATAGCTACAAAGTTTCAAGTAATTTTGTGTGCAAATCAAAATTGTTAAGTACAAGACCCTTATGAAAGACTTTTGGCGAATCATTAGTAATATGCTACATATCAAATAAAATAAAAGAAGTTTTCAAAAACTGAGGGTATTGGTTAAAAAACTGTTAAACTGTGAAATAGATTTGCAGTCATTTTGTACAAGACATGAAATTTATTCAACCTTGAAATCTGGCATGTCACCCATCCAATATCAATGAAACAAAACCAAATTATTTATGACCCTTGAGGCTTCGACACTTGGCCACTTTATTGTTTGTTAGAATTCTAAATGTAACAGTAACACGAGAAACAATGAATCCTGTCTAAGCAATAACAATAAAAAGAACAGTCTTTTAATATTTTACCTGTTTCTATCTTTGCAGTGGTTGACTTAAACATAGCTGCACCGCTTGCGACAGATGAAACAGAGAACATGGACTTGGATGCTGATATTGACGCTGGTAAGTGCCTATCAACAGAAAGTTAATCGATTTAGTGCCTTCTATAAGCCAGGTCAACTGTAGAAAGTTCGTAAGGAAAAACTGGTGTGGAAGTTCTTGAACTGAAAATATGAGGATTATGTATTTTTATTTCAGACGTCTTTAAGCGTAAGCTTTCAGTTGTTATACTGCCGGAAAAAAAATTGCAAGATTTCAATTTGAATCATGGTTAGGAAACTTTTAAAAATCCGCTAGATGTAGGGTTTTGCGCAGGATTTTGCGTACAATGTAGCTAGCCAAGTTACAGCCATTTCAGGTTAGGCTTGATGCACTTGGAAAAGTACAAAAATGTCTATTATTAAATGCTCGCATGGAGGTTTCTGAGGATTCAGACAGATTTTATACTAAATGTTGAAGTTTTGGTGACTGACTGGGATATGGAATAGGGTGTGCCTAAAAACTTATCCTATAAATAACACAAAGTTTTGGATACAGTCTGCTTTTTTTCAAAAGAAGCATTTGGTGAAAATGCTCAGTCTGCCTTTACTTTTAAGACCAATTTCAAAAAGGTAAAATTATTAAGAAAAACTTAAAGCTCAGTCGCTTTGCCTTACCATAAAAATGCTTTTTCATCAGTGACCTGTTAGTTACCAAGACAAGGGCATCTCTCTCACATTTATGGAAAAAATTAAGTGATATTTTGTGGTACAAGCATAGTGCGAGAATGCTCAGAATGGAAAATTGATCAGTGTTTTAAAATTGTTAGAATTTTCTTTTTTCTGGACGATAATTTTCCACAACTTTTCTTCTAAACGGTACATTGGAATGAGCATGTAACTTTGAACAAACATCAACCTTGAATGATCCTGAAGTGTGCATATTACTGTGACGTCATGATGACCTCATCAGGTATCAAATTACATGTGATTTTAGTTGGAAAAAGTGACCAATTCTTTTTACTCTTGAACAAACGATCAATCATGATCATACTTTGTTATCCGATAGACCATTCATTAATTGATAAACATTTTTTGTCATGTACATAAAGTCACTAGACCTTTACTGATGGGGCTACTGGAAGGTGAAAGTAAGGTGAATTCAAATATAGACAGGAGCCTCAAATCAAAACAAACCAAAAGTTCTTCAAAACTGTTCATGGGATGATGATAAAACTGGGGTATTAACTTGAACCCTGGTCCAAAGAAGTGGTAAATTTTGTGACCTCATGATGACATCCCCAGTTATCAAATTACAATTGATTTAAGGTCAAAATGTGACTAAATAATTTCAACTTTAACTTTGCAAATTAATGGAAATCTCTCTCATTTTTGTGTCGCCTGAACAAAGTTTGGGAGACACTTACCACTCCTAAATTCTGTATGACCGTAGACCCGTATGACCGTAGACCTATATTAAACCTAACGTACCTGAATTTATCAAAATCCGCACCCCTGTTTTTATTTCGCCGGATTCAGGATACCTTCATATTGAACAAGTTGGGGGATTTTGATGGATTCAGGACAGTAAGCCTAGCGGTAATGCAGGATTTTGATGGATTCAGGATACTTCCATATTGAGCAGTTGCGGGACTTTGATGGATTCAGGATCTTAACAGTTTAACTCCTTGGCTGTACGTTGTGTGTGTACGAGGTATATGTACCACACTGGTGGATTCTGTTGGATTCACTGGTGGATTCTGATGGACTCAGGACACCAACAAAATTGATGGATTTTGGTGGATTCAGGATACTTTATTTTAAAAGTGCTCAAGGGGTTAGGCCAAAAAAAAAGTCTCCGGTTTCTGGTATGCGCGCGCGCGTCGCCGTAGCCATGCGCGTCGGCAAAATGAAAAAGGTTTTTTTTTCAATAAAAGATGATGTCTCAAAACCGCCAAACTCACTGGTTTGACTGGAATTCTGCTGCTGCACAATTTTAACGTGTTTTTAGATTGGGTTATGGTCGACAATAAGCTTTATGTGGCCTCTCTGGACTGCCATACATTTGCACCAAGTTTAGTCGGGCACCATTTGCAGTCATCAGCCGACATTGGAAGCAAAAAAATCAGGTAAAAAAAAAAAAAAAGCCGCGTCACCGCACCACTTTTTGGGCAAGCTCCATACCAGAAACCGGAGACTTTTTTTTTTTGGCCTTAGGGTTAAAGTTTAGAAAAAATGTATAACTTCTACATGCTTTCATGGATTTTGATGAAAGTTGGATGCAGTGACCCTTGGTTTGGAAGACACAATTCTTCATCGGATTACTGTGGTCAAAGTCATGTAGGGGTCATCAGAGGTCATCGTTCAAATATATGCTTCAAATGTTCCTTTGCCTACAGAATTTGATGGATTTTAATGTCACTTGGAAGTCCTTAGGTGGGGGTTCATCACAACTCTTCCAAAATTGGAGGTCAAAAGTCATGTAGGGGTCATTTGAGGTCGTTTAACCCTAACGTACCTGAATCCATCAAAATCCACCCCCCTGTTTCGGGGGATTTCGGCGGATTCAGGATACCTCCATATTGCACAAACTGGGGGATTTTGATGGATTCAGGATTGGAAGCCTAGCGGAACTGGCGGATTTTGATGGATTCAGGATACCTCTATTTTGAGCTGTTGGGGGACTTTGATGGATTCAGGATCTCGACAGTTAAACTCTTTTTGCAATGTTTGTGGTCAATTAAATACTGCTGGCACGAGCCCTGCCAAGTCTGTCACATACTGTACAAGCATGCACTGTACACACATGTACCAGTACTGGGTGGATGGGAGCTTTTGACTGGGGCTATAAATAGGCCTCAGCATATAACAATGGATTGTGTTAATAAACCCATCCAGACAATGAGTACCGAAGTGTGACGTCATTTAGAACCAAAAAGTGTAGTGCAGACGAATGGAGTAACGCGCGCGTGTGGGTTTACGGCATAGATATAGAATAAAAAGACTAGATCGGCAGTGCGTCCACACGCGGGGACTTGCATGGAGGGTCACGTGCTGGAGGAAAGATACAAATAATGCGCGAAAACGTGACAAACGCAATGCCATTTACG